GGAGAAGGGGGTTGGTAGCTGCAAATCCCGCTTCAGCAAGCAGTTCGCAGCATGAGGTGCTGGTGGGAGGCTCTTCAGAGGGAACACAGTGGGGTGGCATGGGTGAACAGACAGACAGACGGATACAGCAGTTAGAGGGGAGCCAGGACCATGGTGAAGCAAAGATAAGAGCGAGGTGTTTGTTTGCATTTCTTTCTCTTCCCAGCCTTTATCACTGCTGTGATGCAGCTGGCAGTATTACCACAGCGGGCTTGGGGCTGCTGGGGTCTGAGGTAACTCGGTAAGTTACAAGTGCATGGTGCAGCACATTGCCCAGCTCAACCCTCGAGGAAATGTGAGGCACTGGGCTGCGTGATGCAGCGAGGTGGCCAGGGATGCTCCACAGATGCTCTGTGGTGGAAACTGCATCTCGTGGGGACTCCTCCAGCCTCCTCCCCTCCAGCAGAGCACTGGAGCAGCAGTTACAGCAACACTCAGACCTCTGTGATTTGTGTGGCAGGACAGTCATGTGGGTTTCATCGTTCATACTGGATCCTACACTCATTTCCAGTGATGGCAAAGCTGCGGGATCAGTGGCACAATTGTTTTCAATTAACCGAGAACACACAGCTCCTCAGCCAGGTAGCTAAGTGCCAGGAGGCATCCTCTCTTACACAGTCAAAAGTGGACGGAAAAGGGTTTCTGCTGGGGAAAGTAGCTTCCAGGAGCACATCCCAGGGCTGTCCCACCACGGCTGGGACAGCTCTCAGCTCAGTGCCTGGAGGCCGGTGCCATGATTTTGGCTCCCCTCCGTATTGCTCACTGCTAAAACCCTGCATGTATGTGAGTGTAAAGCTCCCTGGCTGTTAGCAGACAGGGAAACCACAATTACACATAGAATAATAAATGGAGTGAATTCAGACAAGTTAATCTCCCGCTTCATCCACTGAAACTACTAATGGTGTCTTGGGGACCTCAGTCTGCAGTTAATTGGTGTAAATCAGGAGCACTATCAGAGCTGATGGAAATTCACTGTGCAAGGGGTGAGGGGTGAGCAGCGCCCCCTGAGGACGGTTCTCGTGGAGGATAACCTTGTGGAGAGGGAGGACAGATGGACAGACAGACCCTGTGTCCCTCCGGGGGGGAGGACGGAGGGATGGATCCCACAACCGCTCTGCAGCGAAGGGGTTTGGAGCCTCGGTTCAGGCTGGGCATGCTGCTCCTGTAACCCCACTGCTTTTCAAAAGGCTCCAATTTCTGCTCGCAGTGTGATAAGCAAATTCCTGCCTCCAGTACAAAGCAACTTTTTTAAGCCCTCATGGATACAGAGGAGCACAGAAAAACAGGAGTGCTCTGGATTCCTGCTCTCAGAGGGCTCTAAGAGCCCCAAACCTGCCTTTTTCTTTAAAAATTTCATAGCTTTTCACTTGAGTCCGTTGTTTGGCAGGACCACCAGCATTTGTGATTTTTGAATGTGACACCAGCGATGTCACCACTGTCATTGACAAGATGCAGGGCTGAACTTGGTGATGCCCTAAACATGTAGCTATGTCCCCTGGCACCTGGGTCTCACCACAGCACATGGCACCAAAAGCACCCAAAATCTGTGGTTCCTGGGGGAAACAAGCCCTGTAAAACACATGGCACTTCATTTTCTTTGGAATGATTAATTCCCACAAGCCATCCCCGATGCCGACGGTGTCCTGGGAGCTGCCACGAGCCTGTGATGGCTGCGAGTGTTACAGAAATGCTGGCGGGGCCCTGCGGCAGGAGCCAGGGAGATGGCTGGGGAACAGGAGCAGGGTTGGTGCCAAAAGGTCAGGGACAGCACAGAAATTCAGATGTTACTGAGAGTCTGATGGAGCCAGAGCAAATTCTTCCCCAGCTGAAAGCAACCTCGTACAGCTCAGCCCTCCGCTAAATGAGGGAAGCTTTAATGTGGAGCAGATGTAGTGACGTCTTCTTTCCTTGTTAGCTGGCTCCAACACACTCAGGGTGCACCATCCTGGGGAGGCACGCATTGCTCATCTTCACAAAAGGTTTTTCACCAGGTTTCTGGGCATGGTTATAGGGTTTGGTAATCTGGTTCATCAAGCTCTGTGTTTGTTCTTAAAAAATAATTTAGTTAGAATCCACTGTTCAGTTGTTTTTTCCCCAGACTCCACAAAAGGCTTGGAGCTGTCATTGCGGAGATGACTTCTGCTGCTGGTGGTGCTGTGTTTGCAGAGAATGTGGGCCAAGGGACCAGGAAGGATCAGCTGGGGGCTGCAAAATACTGTGTGGGTGCTGGGACTGAGAGCCACGCAGGGACATGTTATCCTCATTTCTTGCCAGGGGGGCAGACAAATTATCTTGAGGGTTGTGACAGGATTTAGGAGCAGACTCATCCCTTACTGGGTCCTTTCTCACTGGGGCCTCTTCAAGGGTGAGCTGGCTGGTCCAGCAGCTGACTGACCCGGGCAAGCCACCTTCTGATAGCATTTAAAATAGGGAGCACTGAGGTGGGGCACAAGCCCAAACTCTTCTTCATTCCTTTCCCCAGAATCCCCTCACGACCATCCCTCTGTGACCCTGCAGCCCTGCCTCCTGAGAATACCAGTCATCTCCAGGCATTGTTTTGTTTTGAAGAATAAAACCCCAAAGTGAGATGCTTGGTGGGACCAGTTGGAAGTTGTGCTGCCTCATCAGTGTTTTCCCTTGTTTTAATGCCAGATTTTTGGGTCCCATCCCCAAGGGCAGGCAAGAGGCAGCTCCCCAGCCTGGGGCACAGCCACTCGGGCTCGGGGATGGGACCCTGCCTTTGCCCGCTGTGGCAGACCCCGACACCATTGCTGAAACCAGTTTGCTCCGAGCAGTGAAGGCCAGGACAGAGGCACTCAGGCAAGGAAACTTCTTCCATATCACCACCACAAGCTCAGGAGGGAAGGCGGGGTGCTGGCTGCCATCCCCCGGGCATGGTGGGGCAGTCCAGGCTGGACCCCTGGGGGGGTTTCCGGCTCTGGGGGGCTGTGGGGCCGCGCCGGAGAGAGGCCATGACAGGGACCGGGGAGGGGCGACCTGTGACGGGGCTCCGATGAGTGAGCTCTGTGGAGGGGAGACCCGTGAGGGGGCTCTGCTCAGGGGAGACCAGTGTGGTGGCTCCAGTGAGGAGAGCCCTGTTAAGTGGAACTGGTGAGGGGAGATCTGTGCTGGGACACCAGTGAGGGGCCTCTGATGAGAGGGCTCCCCTGAGGAGAGACCTGCGAGGGTGCTCTGCTCAGGGGAGACCAGCGTGGTGGCCCCAGTGAGGGGAGCCCCGCTGAGGG